TTAATAAGCATAGTTTATTTTCACTAATGATAATTGTACCTTGAGGCTTTAATATTATAAACATTTTAAAATATAGAATATAATATGTTGGATAAAAAAAATTATTCAATTTGGTTGAATCACATTTTATGAAAATATCAAACATAAAATTATGTAGGAGAAATTATTTCATTTTTAATCAAGAGTGGAGCATGGGAAATATTGCCATTATTTTTATTTTACATGTTTTATTCCATAACTCTTTTTAGTGTATTAAGGAGTTTCAGAGGGTCCAATATGTAGTGTTTTTAATAAATTGCAAAATTATGTATAATTTCTGCTTTAAAAATTAAAAAAAGGACAATGAATATGCTTTTTTTATTTTATATTTACCTTTTTACTTGATTCACATTATATTTATAAATAAAATCATTATATTATGTATAATATATAATCGGTTAAATGATTACAAATAACTCGGACAGGATAGTGTAATTTTACTGTATTAAATTTGAATGCAATGATTGCATTCGATAAAAAACGATTCTGAGCAAACGAGGGAATCTTTTTTTATTTAATTTTATTCGTTTCTATGGTGATAAAAAAAGCGTTTAAAGAACAGCTTAAGAACGATTTATATAAATAGGTAATTTATATAATAATAACTAAGAAATATCATAAAAATGAAAAAAATATAAAATAAAAGAAAAATCTCAAAAGTCGCTTGAATGTTTTGAAAATTTTACCGTACCTAGGTAAAGATAGTATAAGTAAACAACTCAAATTTAAAGTTTTTACGAATGTTTTTCACCGAATTACAACAAAAAACTCCTGAAATTAAAATGTCTACAAATAGCTCAAAAATGGCTAAAAATTTTTGAACTTTAAACCGTAAGGAACAGAATCAAAAATACAATAAAAAAGATCTTGTGTCATTTTTCATTTGAAGTAATATTTCTGGTAGAAAACGTCATCTGTAATTATTTAATATTATAAAATCGTGAAATCGTATGTTTTTTCTCCTTTAACTGCTTTTATTTTGAGTAGAGTTTCGAAAATCGAAAAATGACCTCTTTATAGTACCAGCTCAAGAATATTACTTTTCAGGAAAGATGCTACAGTTGATACTTTTGAGCAAGTTTAGAAGGAGAAAAAGTGTTTACAGAATAAAAAATAAAAATTAATAAACATCATTGTAAAACCATTACATTCCTCGCTCCGCTCAGAATCTGAAATATTTAATTTGGATAGTTAAATTTTATTATAATATTAAAGTTTTATTTGTTATAAACGGTTATAATATTTTTAGAAAAATAAATGAAGTGATGAACTACATGTATGAGATGTAATTTCAAAGTTAAGTGTAAAACTAATCGTATTATATATCACAGTATTTAAGAGTCGACTGGACGTACATAAGATGTGAGCATGAGCGAGGATGACGGTTCAGGTCGGAAGAAAAATATAATTTGGTAGTTATAATAATGGCTGGTTTAAAGGGGCAATAAGCGGAATGCAAGATAGTGATATGGAATGACATTTGTTGTGATAACTCAGATTCGATGTGATAGTTTTTGTACAAGAGTGGTAAATGTGACGAAGATGATGGAGAAAAATTATGGTAAATATTGTTCAGTATAACATAAAAATAAGTAGCACCTATAATAATTATATTCATTAAACGTGATGATTGATGGACATCACTATATCGCATTAAAAAAATAAATCAATAAACGCATGTTGGAAACGCTGCAAGGATATTAAAATGTTTGGACACTTGTTCTACTGTACTGTTTGTGTATATTCTTCTTAGTAACATCAAAACGATTAAAAGATACGAACAATAAAGTTTAACTAGCAGTTACTAATATTGTTTACAAACAAATCAATTTACATTTTGTTTTGACAGGTGGTTTTCTAAAACAGTAATTATTATTGTATTATCTTAAATATAACATGCAATTAAAAATAATTTCTCCGCGTTGAAGTTTAATTGCAAGTTTTTGTAATTATTATTTTTTCCGAGGGCATTTACCAAATGTTTATACTTTATAATTTATACTGTACACTGTTTATTATATTTTCAAGTAATACACAAAATGTATGTATGATTAGTACAGAAAAAAACTTTCTGTGACGACATTTGCAGAAGAAGTAATCTAAGAACTAATCGGTGTTTTCTCTTTCTTGTCTTAAAAAATCAACTTGATTTCTCCTTAGAGACTAAAAACATAAAATATATTTAAAAAGAAACATCTACGCCAAGTATTAAATATTCCATGGAGATGGAATATTAAGTGAATTAATTATTTTTGTTTGTTAAGTTTGTTTAGTATTTAATATAGGAAAATTATGTTTCACACTTCAACTTTGGTTGTGGCCTGCGGCTCTTTAATACGTTACAAACAGAGAACTCAGACTTATAATATACTTTGCATGAAAAACCTTGTAACATAATCTTAATTTTATCGAGTATGTATTCTATAATAATTTGCTTCGAACATGTTAATTTAAATCAAAAAATATTCAAACAACGGTAAATTTAGTGGTTTTAATTACATTCAGTACAACACGCATGATGTTCATACTTCGATTTAAAAATAAAAAATATAAAAAAAGAAATTGATCCGATGAAAACATATAAAAGAGTCCTTTTTATCAAATGTATTTTAGGTCCATAAATCAAATATTTAAACCCTAGATTTTCTATAGTCGCGATTGATAATATAGATAAAATATTAAATTATAATGAACGTATGGGTAGGTTGAATAGTATTATAAAATAAATCAATATATAAAATTCACGTTATCATGTTTTCAATGCAAAATAATACGAAGTCTTTGGGAATTATTTATCCTTTTATCCTAGTGATATATTTACAAGGAAAGATAAAGCGTATGGATAGTATTTTTTTTCATATTTTAATACATCTTATATACATTTATACATACATATTATTTATACACGAGTAAGGTAACCATATATTTTTCAAGACAAAACGTGACCAACAAAATGTATTTTGATTAAAAACAATTTTTTTTTATTTAGTAATTATTAGCATAATTATGTACTTTTATGGTTTTAAACGACGAAATCATTAAATTTTATTAAAAACAACTTTTTTCATATCTAAGTTAAATTTGATAAGAGGCATGTAATTGCTAATAGGCATACTCGTATGATTTATTATTTTGACATAGATATTTTCAAAAGTAAAAAAATATATTTTGATACCATGTGTTGTCGTTTATTTTTCAATTTTCCCAACTTTACGCTGACTAGAGGGTAATTGATAATTTTCTATATAAGACATTTTACAATGTAAAATATTGTGTACAAAATGTGACGACATAGAAAACTAACTATACTACAGTTATTATAAAATAAATATTATTGATTATAAATTAATAGAACTATTTTATCTCTGTATTCTTTTCATCATAAAAAATTACGAAATTTATTTGATTTCGATCCGTTAATATGCAAACATATTGCTTAGTGTACGTTAAGGGTAACTTATCGATTCCCGTTATTCATCAATACTTTACATTTTAAATGTAATGTGTATGAAATGATCAAATCTTTTTTTTTTTTAGTATTATTTTTATGATCAATGAAAAAATTTTATATACATACATTAAATAATAGATATATGATATATTTATTGGTCTATGCTGTGGAAGAGGTATGGAATGTTAGTACTATTTTATAGTGTGTAAATGTTTACTTAGATAAGTATGAAATATACACATTGCGATTAATTATTTTATAAACTATTTAATGCAGAACGGATAAATGACAGGAGCTACATAAAATAGGTATTGTGTAATTTATAATATCAGTACTAATAGTAAAATATTAAAAATAATCTAAATAAAAAATGTATCTTCTCTATTTCACCTACGTTGAATAATATTATATTACAATAAATACAATATTTAATTTTGTATTACAATTACATAACTTAAATTTAATAAAAGTAATCTATTGTTTTAAACATTAAACAGAAATATTTTTCTTATTTTACTTATTTAATTGATGATTGATGGAATATAAATAAATATAACTTATAACAATACGAATACAAACAATACATTTATTTAAGTTTTAATAAGATTATTTTTATGTATTAAACATAACAATACATTTAGCTCTCTATACAGTGTTACTCATTCCAATTTTATACATTTTAAATTTACTTTTATAATTTTGAAAATCTATCAACCTCAAGTTTGTTGTTTTTATATTATAAATGTAACAAGGAATATAAAAATTAAATTGGGTTTACTTATAATATAAATTAAAATTAAGGCATCCGTAACAGGTAATTTAAAGTATTGAACAATAATTTAAAATTGTAACTATTCGATTTTATACTAGTTACCCTTTCCCCGTTTTTTAAAGCATTAAAATTTTTTTTTTAAATTTGAGAATTTTTGTACTTTTTCAAAAATATATTATTTATTATTTATTATTCCTCAACTCAGTAAATATTATTTTAAAAATTATTTTTATAAATTATATTAATAGTAAAAAAATTAAAATAACCTATTTTTATTTCAATGTTAAATGGAAATAGCTTACTCATATTTTTTAATAAAGATCAAGTGGCTGAAATTAAATTGGCAATCCAACATTATTAATAGTTATGAAAAACTAAAAAACATTGCAAAAGAATATTATGCAAATTTAATAAAAATTCAAATTTTTTTATTTTAATTGTTTTTTTAGTTACTATGCATTTTTTAAAATGTGCATTATTCACTTATAACATAAAATGCTTTTAATTTTTGTAATATTTTTCATACTAGGTACGTTTATTCTGTTAAAAAAAAAAAAAAACATATTATATATATATTACAAATAGATAAAAGTCTGAATGAGAATTTTTTATTTTATTAATTTATTAATAATTAAGAATTTATTAATTTAAAATTATGTTCAATGTAATAATGTGAATTATATTATTTCACTCATTTTAAATGAGCAAATCTTCCTAAAATTATCTAATTATATAAATACTGATTGACTATTGCATTGTAATATATACTTAATTAATTTAAAAATAGCTATTTTAGATGATTATAAGACTTGAAGAGTAAAACTAATTCGAAATATATTTCGAATATTAGTCACGAACATTACAACTAATATGTCTATGCAGTAAAACATTTAAATGTGTTATCAATATGTTAAACCTGACAGATATATTTATCGAGATTATTCCAATTGGAAGAATAATCGATTTTCATATGACCCAGCGTGTTATAGCGAAATTGACTAGTTATCACATTTTCAGGTGAATCATATTCTCCACTACTGGTTTCATAGGCACGAAACATCGAGTCCATGTCACTGCAAAAAAAAAAAAAAATCATTAATTATTTCCTAATGAATTATGTGTCAGAAATATAATGTATAATAATATTATATTATAAACATTATTATAATGAAAAGTGTACTTATTCATTCATTCAGTATTTTTATATTAGATTCTAAGATAATGTTGGATATTATTTTATACTTATTGTATTAGAAATGTTAATGTAAGTATAAGATCGGTACAAAAATGTTATGATATTGAAAATATCAGGAATTATTTTAGAAACCATGGAAAACCAAACATATTATTATAATATAAAAATTATTTTTAACAACATTTTGTAAAATAAACGATTTTTGTAAAATATTATGTGAATATACTTTTATATCCCACACCGCATTATCCATTCTGAATTTATATAAAATATTCACATTAGGGATAAAACTAATAGTCAAAGTCATTTGAATTTCAATGTCAGTAAAATATTTCATGTCATCAATATCTATATTTTGTTTAATAAACTTTGAGCGCAGTGCTTGACTTGGCAAAATTAAAGAAGGGAAACTCTGGTTACTTAAAAAGAAAAAAGAGCATCCCCAAAACTTGTTAAACGTTATGATTACAACGTAATAATAGTAGGGGGACGCTAAAATTTCTGAAAATTAGTTGTGGTACGCCGTCTCCCTGCTTCCCCCCTCAAGTCGATAACTGGTTAAGCGAACACAACAAATAAATAAAAATAAAACTTTTATTTTTAATAATCGATGCTATCGTTAGTACGTTGTTTCCTTTTATGTTTTAAATGTGCATAGTAATTAGCAAATTAGTATATTCTCTTTATTTAAAAATAATAAAATTTATAATGATGTCATACTATTTATTATACGAATAGTATAAATCGTACCTCCTAGGTTAACCCTCATTTATTAAGAAACATTTAAATGTTGTGAAATAAAGCCATAGTAAATAATAAATATATATATATATAAAATAAAAGCGAAATTTAACCTTTTATGATGATGACTGATGATCGAACGTTTCGCTATATTCGAATTAAATTATTCGAAAAAAATGTTAGGGAATAATTTTAAAGGCCGCCCCACTGTATTTTACGTATAGTATTTAAGTACAGTTGGATCGGTAGCCTTAATGTTTAATGTGAAAAGTTTTCAATAATTTTTTTTATTTTCTAGTGGACTGATTTTATAGTTGAAACATTTTTTTAACAAAAATAATATTTTAAAAGTATACTCTAACTTATATACACACACAAATACATGTATGTAGGATTTCTACTTGGATGATCATTAGTGAACAACGGTTAGTTAATATCATCAACGGGTAAAATATCTACCAGACCATAACGTTCAGTTACTATCATTAACGGCTGACAGCGACCTTGATTGTCTTCGAGTATTTGTTATTTCTTAGGAACGTTTTGTACGTACACAAGTGGTTCATCCCTTTTCCCACAAATATAAAATAATAGCCCGGCGGAAATGCATTCCACATACAACATACTCACGCGATGTTAATATAATTATTTGGATAAACGTGTATCATCATTTTGTGTGCTGTGATTCAAAGAACGTGGTCGTCAAATAAATATGAGTCCGATTGACATAGTTTATTTAGAAACATATACAGATACGAACGTTTCATTTTCTCCAAAAGAAAAAAAAGGCAATTTGCAAAATGCAACTAAACACGAAATATTTTCATCCAACGAACCGTGGAAATTTAAATTGGTTGTGAAGAAAGAATGTTAATTAATGTTTGTGTTGGATAGAATAAAAATATTCGTTTGATGAATTTTTCATCTGTTCATACCGGATAAAAATTAGTCGAATAATATCTAATATTACTAATAAAATGTGAGTTCAAAGGTTCGAGTGATAAAAAAAAAAAAAAATGAAAACAATTATTATATTAAGATTTTAAAATGTATGCATTTTTTATTGAAATCATCGATTTTCATAATTTGTAGGAGAGACTGGGTACAATTGAAATAACTTTAAGGGACAATAATTGTTTATAATTTTCGTTTTTTTTTTATCGCTTGAATCTTTGAACTCACATTTTAATTTATTTTTTTAAATTATTGTAACATTAGCAATAACTAGCTTCACAGCCAATACAAAAACATCAAATAAATACGACAGTTGTTTCACAGTCCAATTATCAATATTTCTTTATCGAAATGTTGGTGTTATAATTAACACCGAAAAATAAAATAAATTGTGTTTTTGATAACTGAAAGTAAATAAAATTATAAGATTACTTTTTTTTTTTTTGGTACATGTTGCATTTTATTCTTTTTTTTATTTTTCCTGCTAATTTAGTTAGAAATTTGTGTAGTTTATTTAGATATTTCTTCAAAATACACTAACTAGTAAGTAATTTTCTTAGTATTTACATTTTTTAAATTATATTGAATGTAAAATGTAACAATTTATCGGGGGACAATTGTAACATTAAATTGTTGATCAATATTTCATTAGGTTAATAATAAAAAATAAATTTACATTTTTTATTTTTTTTTACTATAGTTATGCTGTAGATAAGAAAGATAATTTCGAATCGTGAAACTGATGAAAAATTATGAAAAATTCTGTAGAGATATGCCTTACAGAAAGATAATCAGAACGATTAGCGGTTAAAGATTATTAATATTAAAGGTTTTCCATATCAGTTTAATGTATCGATTGTTTAAATCGATACATCAAAAAATTAAAAGCTCTAGAGTTGGAGGTTCTCCACCAAAATGTTATTATTTATAATTGTTAGTGTAAAATATCTATTTGTAAAAATGAAAATAAACCATTGAAAATTGAAAAAATTAAAAATGTTACTTTGTCCCTACCTGTGTTAAAATTGTCCCTGTTTAAGATACAATTGTAACATTTTTTTTTAATCTTCATTTATACTACAGATTTTGAAAGTTAAGAAATTAAATAATTTAAACGATTAAAAGTTGAATCAAACAAAAATATTTGAAATATTGGCAAAAATAAATAATTTTATAAAAAATTATACAATCGTACCCAATTTCTTAAACATAGTTAAAGTTTTTTTTTAAACTACACCATCCTATTTGTAAAATAATTATTTTATTTTTTTCTTTATTATATTATATTATTATATGCTTTTAATTGAAATTTAAGACGTAATTAATTTTTAATGTGTAATCTTATTGTATATGAGATGATTTTCGTAACTCATATCAAGTCACAAGGGCGTATTTGTGGTGGGGAATGTGGCATTCGTAGCCCCTATGGTTCGTGTTTTTTTTTTGAATATAATACATTGATTTATTTAAAAAATGTAATGTATAAATAATTAAGAATATAAATTACTAGTCTGTCATTATATTATGATAATAAATTCAATAATATGTCAATTTGATCATGGGTATCAATTTTTATTTATCTTCATATATCATAACATTTTTGGTTGTGGAACGAATAGTAGTATTATCTTCCATAGATATTGCTACGGTTATAGACATTTACAACCATAACCGAAGTATTTATCAGATAGTATAAAGTAGTTTAAAATAACATTTTTTCACCACATATTTAATAGTTAGTCATTTTTTGGTGCATTTATGCATATTGTATATTTTTGTATTTATTAGAGCTATATAAATCTTTAATAATTTTACTCGCTTTTTTTTTTTTTTTTACAACATGATATGTGGTACTTTTTGTTGTGCATAGGTATTTAGTCATTTTTTTTGTGCACAAATGCATGTATATTTGTGTATTTTATGGAGTTAGAAGTTCCTAACCCAAATAAAAATCATAATAACTGACAATATTTGTTTCCATATTCTTTAACTTGCAAATATTGGCCACAAATATATTTTTGTAAATTGAAATCATGGTTTAGATCAAGAATAGGCCAACATAGACTAACAGGTTTGGCTTTGCTGCATGTGCATAAAAATATTATTGTATCCATTGATGAAACAATCAACAAATTTGCCAAAATGAAAAAAAAAAAAAATTGGAATTAGTTATTTTCCTACTTACCAACCTTATGTTTTCTACTTAGATATTTGTTAAATTAAGTTACTTATATTAATTGTTTTTTAAAGTTTTTAAAAAATAATTAATGGATACTATTATTATTTATTGATTTTTTATACAGGATTCAGACTGAAGGTACAATTTTAATATAAGAACTATTTGTGTTGTTATTATTAATAGTTATTTTATATGCAGTAGGTTTTAAATACAGAGCCAGATTACCCATTAGGCAGAGTAGGCGCCCCCTTTAGGGCATCATTCATTTAAGGCACGCTGTGAAAACGGAAAACTATATTTTTATTTTATTTAATAATACCTGTATTTTATTTACAAATTTACAGGACAAAATTAATTATGAAATATAATATATATTAAGTTGTAGGTGTTATATGCAGTAATAATAACAAAATTATTTTGAAAAAAATAGAAATAATATGATAATTCATTCATTTTTCTTGCAAATAAAAAAATTTAATAAACATGATTCTATTTATTAATAAAATTATTTATTTTAATTAATTGGATTGTAATGTCAAAGATGTATGTAAAAAATAATTTTGTTAAGCCAAAAGTTTTAATTGCCTAGGTGTCCACAAATGTTAAATCCAGCACTGTTTAAATATATTTATCAAATAAATAATAAATTTAATTATTACTTGTATTTTTATTTATTCACTCGAATAAGCAACAGGAACATGAGCCGTAGATAATGAACCAGGGACGTACCCAGGAATTTTTTAGGTGGGGTTCAAAATTTCTTATTTCATCTGGTCTCTAATTATAACTATAGTTTAATTCAATACCAACAAATTACTGTTAATAACTATTGTAATAGTCACAATAGTTATACACACATCACACATATTCTGCACAAAGGTTTACTAGTATGTAGAAATTTCAATGGCGGGGTTCGAACCCGAAAACCCTCCTTGGGTGTGCCCCTGTAATGAACTGTAAATTATTTTTAAGTTTGTATTGAAGAAAAATTAGTTTCGCCCCCC